CTCTTGTACCTGGCATTTAATGAACAGATTATAAAATACTAGAAATAAATACAGACAAGAGACAATTGGTTTATTATTAAGTCAAATATAATTTCCTATTATAGAAATTGACAAACAAATAAACAATCAGTATTTATTATTACAATCACATGTATATATTTGATATTTATTGTTGTGTGTTGGGAAGGGGGGGGGGGCGCGTAAAGTCTGTCGTTGGGTCAAGTGGAGTGGTTTCGATTTCCAGCTTGCACGTGACTCACTGCTGCGCTCTATTCTATTATAACATCATTCTCCCACTCCTCGATTGTCTTATACTGTTTCAGCACTATCATAATCACGGTTATAGTGAACTGCCCGGCTAGTATAGACCACGATCGGCGAACAACTATATAATTATACAATACTATCTATGTTCTACCGGGACGCTGAATGTTATAGCCAGTATTTTCTTGACATTCTTTGTGGGGTGTGATTATGGATGGCGCCTTAGATTTGGAACCACCCCCACCCCCACCCCCTATTCACAGCTTCTATATCCGCTACTGGTCATGGCCCCTAGCTAGAAAACTCGCACCTGTGGGGCTCGACTCCTGACTGCGTCAATCGTACTAGGGGCATGTGCATCAGTCGGTCGCATTTTGGCTACCCCCCCTCCACACACAAAATCGTTATGTACGCCCCTGTACGTAGGGTAAACTATCACAGATACAAAGAATTGATTCTATTCGTAAAGTTAGATGAGAGATATTTTAGAGAAATAAAATAAAATTAAACGGGGTTTAACGTCCTACTTTGCTGCCCCCAAGATGCTATTAAAGACGGACATAGGTGATAGAGTGCGATATGAAGGAATGTTGCCCTAAATGTGGCGCTGAGACACTAACAAGGGGGAAACAAAGCTGGAAAATTTGCCAGGACAGCTGCCTATGGCGTACTACTCTTTATAATTCTAATTGTCAAGGGGTCTTTTACGTGCACGTCAACGTGTACACTGTACCTCGGTTGTTCATACTATCCGGTATATTAGACGCCACCCTTGCCATGCCCCCCGTCCTGCATCACTAATAAAGGGAAACAACACTGGAAAATCTCTGAGAACTTTCTCGACCAAATTTGGCGATCGGCTCTTCTTCCAAATTCCAACTGTCAAGGGTTCTTTTACGTACACGCCTACGTATACAGGGACCTCGGTTGTTCGTCCCACCCGATCCGAAAGACTAGACCCTGTCCTTACCATACCCTCCATCTTGCGACGCTGGAAAATACATGAGAACTTTCTTGGTTAACACCGGGATCGAATCATGTACTCCCTGATTAGCGAGTCAGTGCCTTACCCACTGAGCCACCGCAGTTTCCCAATCTTTTAGAGACATGTATTATGCTTGAATTTCACAAAGATTCAAGTTTCCAAATATATTGGAGAGAGAGAGAGAGAGAGGGGGGGAGAGAGAACAATGGGGTCTAACGTCCACTCGACACAAACTAGGTCATTTCGGACTGACACACGGTTTAATTTTATCTCAATAATTCGCTTGCACGTAGGGGTATTTAGCAGTGGAAGGAAACCGGAGGACCCGGAGAAAACCCACGATGTTGGACAAGCGACCCTTCTCCTTGCCACATACAACTGGGGAATCGAAACCAAGCCAGTTGACTCGATTACAGACCTTATGATAGAACGCACACGCGCTAAATATTGTTTGGAAATGAGGAAGGAACAACAATTCATTCAGGATTGATCAATTAAGTCTCACAAATCTTGATAACTGTACGGTGAAAATATATTCATACAAACAGTAGTACATGTATATCAACAGAGTTTCACCTACAAGTAGTTACCACCAAATTTCACATATAAAGCCGCTGCCTTGGCAATCAATTTTGGTGGGTGAAAGAGATTAATAAAATGGTAGGAAATCTCCGGATTTGCTGAGAAGGCTGGGTATAAATGGGCTTCATCTAGTTCTCAATATAACAAGAGACAAAGAAGGTTTGTTTTACCAAATTTACAGAGAAAATATTAGCAGAAATAAAAAAGGAGTGACCCCGCTTCTGGGGATCGGGGCAATCAGATGACAAATTCAGAATTGCGGCCTGTAGACGGTAAACACCAAAATTGGGGATGGCTCTGCCTTTCTTGGGCGTGGGGGTGGAGGGGGGCATGAGACACGGATAAATATAAATAAGTGAAAAGCTGTTATTGAAATGATTGGTCACGCCGAATTTAAACAAAATCTGTTAATAAGTGCGACCAGTAGACAATTTACAGATAAAAGGTTTACAAAAAAAAGTGGGTGTGGCACCGCCCCTTTTTTCGGGGGGGGGGGGGCACGGTGGATTAGTGAGTAAGACGCTGGCTCGCTAGCCGAGAGGTCACGGGTTGGCTCCCGGTGTTGCCCGAGAAAATTTGCCTAGTCCTTCGGATTTGACGAAAAACCGAGGTCCCTTATACACATTGGCGTGCACGTAAAAGATCCCTTGGCAGTTGGAATTCGAAATAAGAGTAGGTCGTAGCGCCGCTGTTCTGGCAAAATATCAGTCATAGCCAGTGCCGGATCAAAGGCCCACCTGTCAGGTCATTCACCAAGGCCCACCTAAGTAAGCGCCGAAGTCGCACGAACGTCCGAGGGTTTTGTTGGGGGGGGGGGGTCCCCCCAGCAAAATTTTGAAAATTGACAGCCACAAACCCATTTTTCAAGCATTTCACACCAAAGCAGAAAATGGCAAATTTTTGATTTCCTGATACAATTAGATAACAGATTTCTTTTCTTTCCCCCCCCCCCCCTCTCCTTTCTTTCTCTTTTTTCTTTTCTTTATAGGCTTAGGCCCACGTTTTTTAAATGAGCTTAGGCCCACCTGTCACGGACAGGTGGACAGGCGGGCCCAGTCCGGCACTGGTCATAGCACATTGTATGGTGAATGTCCGTCTTCATTAGACCAGTCGGGGCAGACCTATAGGGCGTTAAACCCCATTTCATTTCATTTCACCACCCCTGGGGGTTGGACATGCACCAAAATAAAGGACATTGGGCATGGCTCTGTCCCTGAGGCTTGGGCATGCACCAAAGAATTGAAGTCTGTGGGCCAAACATAGACACAAGCGCAAAGACACGATTGAACGTATAAAAATAAACACGAGTTTTTGTAAACAGTATTATTCATTGAAAATAAATATATACAATAAAATTTTTAAGACATTTTAAATAAATTAAACAATAAAATAAACAATAAATATATACACAGTATTAGTCCTGTAGATAAAATACAAATACGTCATCAGTAGTTTTAACTGTTGACTACAGACAGTATAATACGTCATCAGTAGTTTTAACTGTTGACTAGAGACAGTTTAATACGTCATCAGTAGTTTTAACTGTTGACTACAGACAGTATAATACGTCATCAGTAGTTGACTAGAGACAGTGTAATACGTCATCAGTAGTTTTAACCGTTGACAAGAGACAGTGTAATACGTCATCAGTAGTTTTAACTGTTGACTACAGACAGTATAATACGTCATCAGTAGTTTTAACTGTTGACAAGAGACAATAAAACTGTAAATTGTATGACTAGAGACAATAACATTATGTTGACTAGTTTACACGAATTATTATAACTTGTTTATTTTATTTTAATTTCATTTGATCTGTGATATATTTAACGTCTAAAGAAAGACTTGAGACGGGATAGTTGACGTTTAGTTGATTTAGCTTTAATATATTTTATTTTTTCATCTTCCTCAATGTCTGACCACCTACAATAATCTAGAGGTGTTTTACCATCTTTATTCTTGACATGTAGATCTAGATGTAAACAATCAACTAGATATTGTACTGTAGATAAAGTACTAAATAGACATGCCACGTGTAAGATGGTATTATTATAACTGGTTCTAGCGTTAATATCAGCCTCATGACTGACTAGATATTTTATTTTATCTACAGTACTTACACTTGACATACAACAGTAAAATAACGGTGTACGGTTGTAACAATCTGTTGTATTAACATCCATGTGTAAATCATCAACAAGATATTGTACTGTAGATAAAGTACCATGGAGACATGCCTCGTGTAAGATGGTAATATTATAACTGTCTCTAGCGTTAATATCAGCCTGATGACTGACTAGATATTTTATTTTATCTACAGTACTTACACTTGACATACAACAGTAAAATAACGGTGTCTTGTTGTAACGACCTGTTGTATTAACATCCATGTGTAAATCATCAACAAGATATTGTACTGTAGATAAAGTACCACTCCAACATGTCACGTGTAAGATGGTATGATTATAACTGGTTCTAGCGTTAATATCAGCCTGATGACTGACTAGATATTTTATTTTATCTACAGGACTTACACTTGATCTACAACATTTAAATAACGGTGTCTGGTCCAACTTGTCTCTGACGTTAACATCTATGTTCACCATGTTTTTTATATCATGCAAAGTACCATGTAGACAGGCTTTAAATAATTGTTGTTGTTGTTGTTGACGTGTATCTGTAATATATAACATGTTATACTATATTTACAGTTTATCAAGTCATATTTAATATTGTTTCAGGTAAGTCAGAAATGAAATGAAATGGGGTTTAACGTCCTACTGTTCTGCTCCGATCGGGATAATGTAGAAGGGCATACGTCATACAGTGTGCTATGAGGGAAATTTTGCCCGGGCAGCGGCACTATCGCCTACTCTTATATCGAATTCCAACTGCCAAGGGATCTTTTACGTGCATTCCAATGTATACACGGGACCTCGGTTTTTCGTTTCATCCGAAGGACTAAACAGCTGTCCTTGTCAGGCCCTCCGTCCTGCATCACTGACAAGGGGGAACCACGCCGGAAAATCTGGATGAACTTTCTCCGCCAATGCAGGGTTCGAACACCCGACCTCCAGGCTAGCGAGCCATCGTCTTACCCACTTAGCCACGTGATCCCCTTCAGGTAAGTCAGCCGTTGGATATTATATTATATATTAGAATAACTTACCTTTCTTATCTGAGGTATCACTTGTATTACCAGACAAAGTACCATGTAATAATTGTTGCCGAACGGTATCTGTAATATATAAATCATATTTAATATTTTTCATCTAACTAGAATAACTATAAAGTTTATTATACGTCTTCTGACTTCAATGACGATGGGTATATGACGTAATAATTTGTGACGATGTGTGTATGACGTAATAATATCAACCTACCTTCCTCATTTAAGGTAAGAGTTTTAATACATGTCTCCAACTCATCAAATCTCTTCTTTGTCAGAGCTTCTTTCTCTTCAGTTTGTTTTTTGTATGTTTCAAGTTTTTCGATTTTCTTCAACATCTGTTTGGAATCCCCATCTTGTGTTTCCATCTGTTTCTTCAGGTTCTCTAATTCCTGTTTTGCAAGGTCGTGATCTTTATGTAAGTCTTCTAGCTGATGTCTTGTCTTGTCTTGTTCTGTCATCAGATTGGTTTTATTTTTACCTGTATGATAAAATTATTTACAATTCAATACTATTACCTGTATGATATAATATAATACACAATTACACAAGACAAACCCACGGACAGGGCACAATATACATAGACAAATGAAATGAAATGGGGTTTAACGTCCTACAGCGGAGTTACGACCTACACTTATATCGAATTCCAACTGCTAGGAGATCTTTTATCTTCAGGCCAATGTGTACTGGCGGCCTCGATTTTTCGTTCCATCCAAACGACTATACACTTTACCTTACCAGGGGGTCAAGGCCCATGCCCTCCGTCGATACATCACTGTATCATGCCGGAAATGGATCAAACATGGGACCTCCAGGTTTACGAGCCAATGTCTTACTCACTGAGCCACCGTGGCTCCAATATACATAGACATCTCAAATAAAAAAAATCTGAATGGATCCGGGTGCTAGCTATAAGCGTCCACTACGCCGTAGGCCTACAGAACAGGGCCTATACTAGCTATAGTGATTATATAGGCTTCAGTCGAAATGAAATCAAAGAATAAAAAAATTGAAGAAAAAAGTGGGAATATTTCCGGAACGTTGTAACACACTGGTGTCAGTCATGATCGGCCAATTGCTACATAAAATCTCAATGTCAGCATATTGAGCCAGAAATAGTACTGAATTAAAATACATGGAAGGCGAAGCCATCGAACATAAGCAACCAGTCTTGACGGCCCTCGTCTGCTAAATGACGTTACACAAAGGTGATCGTCTGCCAATTGACGTCATAAGTTTGCATGTAAATAGCGCCAACAATAATAAGGGAGATAATCCAGTTATAGTAAGATAATTATAGTATCGTTCATAGTATCAATCTTTCTTATTTTGCTATAATCACATACAGTATATTGTCATGTTAGAAAGGGCGCAAAGGGCCTAATTTAGTAAAAATAAGAAATCCTATTGTAGATCCATCATTTATATTTTCTATGATGTTCTATGATTTCTCGCAAAAATCAGATTCATTTAAACAAATACGAAAAGAACCGGTACGTTTGTATTTTTATGTTTTTATAAGTTGTCAATGTTTATATATATATGGTGTGTTGTTCTTGTTTAAAATAGAAATAAACTTACCATTCGTGGTGTTTTCTAATACATTTACGATTTTCTTGTAACCCAGTTCTCGTAAACATAGGATGAATTTACCATAGGCGTCACCACTGTTTAAGACATACATCAGTAGTTTGTCAGCAGCTGCATCCCGACCCTTTTCAGCGTTCCTGAAAATTTTCTGTATTTCTTCTTTTTCATCTGCGTCGAATATATTTTTTTCAAATAATTTATTACTAAGTTTTACTGGTTCCTTGATCTGCTCTACCAGGTAGCAGTAATTGTCTCGCACTCTCACATAGTCGTCTTCTGGCATCCGACCTTTTTGTTTTACTGAAATAATTTATTACACAGCTTTATTCTGTTCTCGATAATCTCAAATATGCTTGTGTATTTTGTCTTTGTAAACAGTGGCAAGGGAGACAATCCATAAACGAAGAAATCAAGTCCAAACCAACGGGGGTGGGGGGGGGTGGGGGTGGGGGTAAATTGATAGGGATTAATACACCATAAGTAAACAATCTATTATGAAAGTAGCTGTGGATCAAATAAATATTAAGTTTGTGTGTAAGTCATGTTTCAAATTAATTGGGCTGACCAATTTGATTTAAAACAATCACCCAATAAACATAAGTACCAATTTGGTTTAAATCCAACAAGTGATTCAGGGGACGTACTCGAAATTTGGACAATTAAAGAACAAGGGTTATGACATAAGACTTTTGGTCCACTGAGGGGCATTATAAGGAATCTGAGAGTAAAGTAGATAGAGTATTAAAATCATATGATTCCACTTACCTTGATACATTGCCATCTTGATAACAGATTTTTACTATTTCTTTACTGGGCTAGATAGGTATCTTACTTCACCTGGTCTTTTATCTTAAAAACAAGAAAATGTAATTAAAATTAGATTTCAATTCGTTCACTGACTTGTATGTTCTGGCATTAGGAGGATGGAGACCTAGGTTTGTATTCAAAGGTTTACTTGAAGTTAAGCCTTATAGTATGTGGACTATATACAAAATGTTGAATATTTCTATTTTATTTAACTATGGTCTAATACACAAAATGTTTAATATTGTCTCAGAGCTTCCTTAAATCTCATGATAACCTTGACGCCCCCCCCCCCCACTACACCCATCAGCTCAAATTCCTGGACACGCCCATGTTGAAAACTGCTAGTATCATGTTCTATGGTCTAATACACAAAATGTTTAATATTGTCTCAGAGCTTCCTTAAACCTCATGATAACCTTGACGCCCCCCCCCCCACTACACCCATCTGCTCAAATTCCTGGACACGCCCATGTTGAAAACTGCTAGTATCATGTTCTTGCCTAACGAAAGTGTTTTAGAGATATTATTTGTACAGTTAATGATAACGCAATTTAAAAAGTAAAATGAACGTAATTTCCAAAGCTGCTGTAATAACCAAAAAGCTAGATTTTACTGCTATTCAAAATCGTCAACAATAGATTTTTTACGGCTGTAATATTGATAGATGTGTAGAGAATTGCACGTGCAATGGCTATTTATAGTCTCTTAGACTTTATTATAAAGGAAGTTCATATTATATAATGATATAATATAAATGGAGTTATTTTAAGCGATATTATAAAAGAGCTATTATTTAATATTTATAGAGTTTCTAATATACTATATAAACATATCAATTATTAATGGAGTTATCTTATAGAGTTCCTACTGTATCAATATATCAATTATTAAAAGAATTATTTTAAAAATATTATATATTAATATAGTTATTAGAAATTTAATATCCAAGGAGTTTCTACTATATAAAAATATCAAATATTAATAGAGTTAATAGAAATTTAATATCCAGGGAGTTTCTACTATATAAAAATATGAAATATTAATAGAGTTATTAAAGAGTTTCTACTACATAAAAATATCAAATATTAATAGACTTATTATGAAATATTTCCTACTTTATAAAAATATTAAATATTAACAGAGTTATAGATTTATTATGAAGATATAAAATATTAACAGTTATTATGAAATATTACCTACTATATACAAAAATATAATAAATATATAGAATAATATCATATCTACCTGACTGTGTTTAATTGTTCTTGTTGAAGAAAACCTCAAATCTAGATTGGTAGATGTTTAACGTCGGCTGTCTGGATTGTTTCTGACGCTCGCTTCGTGGTTTACCGTTATTTATATGCGTGTTACTGTCACATCTACAAATATGCCCAAACTTTCATTTAATAATCAAAAATAAGGCGTGGTTTAAACTGTATGATTGGTAAATAATGACTAATGCTACTATAAATATCTTCACCATTTATATCGTGTAGCTAACTTATAGAAATTGAAATGAAATGAAATGAAATGGGGTTTAACGTCCTACTGTTCTGCTCCTATACTGGGCTAATGAAGACGGACATACGCCATACAGTGTGCGACGAGGGAAATTTTGCCCGGGCAGCGGCACTATCGCCTACTCTTATATCGAATTCCAACTGCCAAGGAATCTTTTACGTGCATTCCAATGTATACACGGGACCTCGGTTGTTCGTCTCATCCGAAGGACTAGACAGCTGTTCTTGTCAGGCCCTCCGTTCTGCACCACTGACAAGGGGAAACCACGTAGAAATTGAAACCTATTATGTAGGTTACTACCCGACACGTTATTAGTTATTTGATTTGTATGGTCCATCTACAGATGCCCGTAGTCAACCAAGTGAAATGTAAACAACAACAACAACAAGTCTTAATCCATTGGTAATGAGATAAACGAAACTATAAATGACATAATTGAAAGAAAGCCGATTTAAATGTGTATATTAACCCTGCCAACTCATCAAATTTTATTAACCCTGCCAACTCATCAAATTTTATTAACCCTGCCAACTCATCAAATTTTATTAACCCTGCCAACTCATCAAATTTTATTAACCCTGCCAACTCATCAAATGAGAGGTGATATCAGTTATTCTTGAAAGACCATGTATATCCTGCATTGTGCACGATAAACCGGATTTGTGTTTAAGTTATTGGGAATTTTCTAGAATTATTAGCAGTTGTGTGGATCGTTTGACCTTGCATACCATCAATATTTTCTTTTCTTATCGTGTTGTTGTGTACAAGAACCATACTGTAATCACGTGTTACTCGTTTTAAGTGACGGGTCTTTATTGAAATGTATAAAGATTAGTCATGTGTTCGCTGTAATTATGTACAAATTATCATATATGGAAGTTTGCCTTTATATCTCCTTGAAATCGGAATTCGTATCTATTTAAATTGTTGTTAGTCATAAATCGGACAGGGTGAGTTCCAATTGGCTGTTTGGCTGTTGGCTATGAATAATAAAACACAGAGAAATGTCGTTAGATAAAATTATCTTTAATCCTGGCTTTCTGGGGAATGAGGTATTAACATGGTACGTGGAGAATCTTCTTATGCCCTTATTGAATATGGGGGTGTATTGTAGTCACCCCTATCCTTCTGTAAATCCCCCCGTTCGTCCACAATTCTGGTAAACATTTGACAGATAAAACTTTTTGAAAAGTTATTTTTCAAACTAGCTGTGGTTGTTTAGCTAGTTCCAAGGGGCACCTGTTAAGTTTCATAGCTGCCCCAGGTCATGTCCCCTAAAATCCTATAAACACTCTACAGGTCAGAGTTCTTTTTTTTCAATCTTTCTGTGGTCCTGTTGACATCCGTAGTTTTGCCCCTGAAAACCAACATCCACAAAGTAGTTCAAGAGCGTATAGTCGTTTCCTGACAACGCTATCTGTTACATGGGCTGCGCTGCCGGGTTTTGGTTCTAGATTTGCTTACAGATCTAGATTACTAGAATGACCAAAACAATATCATCAGTAAGAAAGATTCAAAATGCAAAGCTAGTACCCAGCTCAGAACAGATTAGATACTTGTAACCAGCAAAATGTTGACAGGAAGGGGAGAGGGGGGGTCCAAAAGACCCCTTGTGTCCGATAATTTAATACTCGTAGTTTCTTGTACGTCCATTCTATGATCAGCATTATACTCGACATTAATTAGCTGACAATGTATACAATTCGGGGGGTCACGGTGGCTATGTGGGTAAGACGCTGGCTCGCTAGCCTGGAGGTCGGGTGTTCGATCCTTGCAATGGCCGAGAAAGTCCACCCTTGTCAGTGATGCAGGACGGAGGGTCTGACAAGGACAGCTGTCTAGTCATTCGGATGAGACGAAAAACCGAGGTGCCATGTACGCATTGGCGTGCATGTAAAAGATCCCTTGACAGTTGGAATTCGATATAAGAGTAGGCAGTAGTGCCGTTGTCCGGGGAAAATTTCCCGCATAGCACACAGTTCGGAGCAAAACAGTAGGACGTTAAACCCCATCTCATTTCCATTTATGTATAAAATTCTCGCTAGACAATTATGAACCAGTTCCTCGCAAAATTTAAGGATATGGTCGTGGGGTCCCAAAATAACCCTTGTATCCGCACAAGGGTTAATATTTTTACAATGATTGATGATTAATAATCAAATGAAACAAAGTAATCATTTATCGTACAGAAAACAAACGGGATAATTATACAACAGTGAGTGGTATTCTACTGTAGTACCATCAGTGATGTACAGTTGTGAGTGTGAGCCTACTGTAGTAACATCAGTGATGTACAGTAGTGAGTGGTATCCTACTGTAGTACCATCGGTGATGTACAGTAGTGAGTGGTATCCTACTGTAGTAACATCGGTGATGTACAGTAGTGAGTGGTATCCTACTGTAGTACCATCAGTGATGTACAGTAGTGAGTGGTATCTTACTATAATACCATCGGTGATGTACAGTAGTGAGTGGGGTCCTACTGTAGTACCATCAGTGATGTACAGTAGTGAGTGTGAGCCTACTGTAGTACCATCAGTGATGTACTGTAGTGAGTGGTATCCTACTGTAGTACCATCAGTGATGTACAGTAGTGAGTGGTATCTTACTATAATACCATCGGTGATGTACAGTAGTGAGTGGGGTCCTACTGTAGTACCATCAGTGATGTACAGTAGTGAGTGTGAGCCTACTGTAGTACCATCAGTGATGTACTGTAGTGAGTGGGATCCTACTATAATACCATCAGTAATGTACTGTAGTGAGTTTTCCCCTATTATAGTACTATCAGTATATAACACTAGGTGTAATAATACCTGTTTTACTTTAGATACCTATATCTACCTGTATTTACCTGTTATATACCTGCCCAACACATTTATACACTTAATTAACACAACATTTACATCATCATTATTAGCATGCCATACCAATCCTACCAACATATTACATAAACTACGACAAAAACACACGCATGGTGGAAAATTACAGAAACTACGACAAAACACACTCAGGTTGGTAAGTTACAGAAACGTTAATTTTTATCATATAAGTCGTCTACCCCAAAATACAGAAACCTTTCTTCATATTATATAACTCAATAAACCTCAAAAGAGATAGAGAGAGAGAGAGAGAGAGAGAGGGTTTTACGTCCACTCGACACAAACTAGGTCATTTCGGAACTAACATATGGTTTAATTTTATTTCAATAATTCGCTTGCGCGTAGGAGTCTTTAGCAGTGGGTGGAAACTGGAGCACCCGGAGAAAACCTACGAGGTTGGCCAGGCGACCCTATTCCTTGTCACGTACAACTGGGGATTCGAAACCACGCCAGTTGATTCAATGACAGGCTTTATGATTCAGCGCGCACGTGCTAACCATTCGGCCATCCCTGCCCCCCCCCCCCAATAGAAAAATGTTTCTTTATTATTATTATTGTTCGATTTATATAGCGCTTCATTACACGTGAAGTGTTTCTAAGCGCATATCACAAACATATACTTCAAACACACAAAAACAATCAAAATCAGGAGAACATAATTAAACACAGCTGCCTGTTAGGCGCTATTATTCAAAGGTTAATATCCAACAAATCAACCGGCTAATCTCTATATTGAACTCAGTCGAGGTATTACCTGATGAACACCTACACCAAGTAGAGTTCAAAAATAAAAACGAAGTTTAAAAGAATCAACTTCATTAACAAAAATTAAACAATCAAAAACTAAACTGATAAATCAAATTCAAACGAAACAAATAAAACAAAGAAAATGAAAAGAGCAGTTCATTACCATTCTACATTAACAAAATAAAGGAAATCAACTTGTGAAAATTTGTTAAAAAAAAAAAAAAAAAAAAAACAAAAAAAAAAAACATTAGTTGTCTTATTTTACACATAACTTGTTATCAGTATTAGAAGAGATTACACACAGACAACTGAGGGAGCCACATTTATTTGTACGGAAAATCATGTTTAAGCTTGTAGACCCTCTAAGGAAAACAATTTCTATCAGATTTTGACAAAACTTAAAATATATGTTTACATGTATATCCCAAAGATCGCAACTACTTTGATTATAGACGAGCGAGATAGTAGATTATTATGATTATACACAACCCTACTGCATGTCACTTACAAGTGGGTAATCAAAACCATGCCATTTGACTCAATGACAGACCTTGTTAACACATTTGGCCACCCAGCCCACTGATGATCATAGATGGATGAAGCATTACGGTATGTTAAATATAGATGGTAAGATGGAAAGCTCTGATGATTATAAATAGTTAAAAGACTTAACATGACTCAATGACAGACCTTGTTAACCCATTTGGCCACCCAGCCCCCTTGATGATCATAGATGGATGAGGAAGTATGTTATGTTAAATGGAAACTCTGATGATTTTAAATAGGTAAAAGACTTAAAGTGATTACACATGTTAATGATTGTATAGTGGGACACAAAAGTCATATCAATAATGAACAGAATTGTGTGAGGAAACCAGTGTGTGTTGATTATTGATGATGGATTTCTGATTATCATAACTCCTAAAACAACTCGAAGCTCTGCTAGATTAGGATATTTTCATCAATTAATAAATGAAATGAAATTGGGTTTAACGTCCCACTTTAATGCTTCCTCCGGGCTATGAAGAAACCAATTCTAATTCCAACTATCAGGGGATTTGTGTACATGCACGAAAATAATTCCAACTATCAGGGGATTTGTGTACATGCACGAAAATAATTTGTAAACGGGACTGGGCTCTTACGTTGCAACCGAACGACTACAACCTTTCTCCTTGTCATGACCTCTATGTTGCACAAAATCTATTATCGATAACTAAAACAAATCGATCTAATCGATATATTCAGTTGGTGTAGATTAGGTGGGTTGCGTAAAAAAACAACAAAACATCTACTTGCCAAAACTAGGTAAGGGACTAACATATTGTTTAGTTTATTTCAATAACTGGTCTGCTTTAGCAGTTGGTGGAAACCGGAGGACCCAGAGAAAATGTTAGATGGGTTACAATTTAAATCAGAACTAGCTGAATGGAGTCTTATCGCTCATATCTGATGTCCCTTGTATACATAAGTATACACGTAAAGGAACTTTTAAAGATGGGGATATTCCCTGCTTCACTGACTTAGAACTATAATAACCGTTTCTGTAAATTGTAAAATATAACCCAAAGGTTTGATCCAAGACATTTTCCCCTGATTTCCATCAATCGTGTGGTATGACAATGAAAATTGTCTAGTCGCACGGACGGGATATAAATGTGATGTCCCTTGTACACATAAAGTGTTTGTTTTATCAGGAATCTATGTAATTTACATGTAAATGTATTATATTATTAAAACAATCTATACTTTTATCATCAACAAGCCCCCTTTATCATACA